TAATATTCCGGACACGCTCCTAAGCCCAAAATCACCATACGGAGCTATTGGAATCATCAAAATCCAAATCCGAGGTCTTTTATACATAGGTCCATGTCCGATCCACTTTTCTAACTTAAATTTTTCAATTATGAGACTAAGTGTCTCATTTCACTCCGAGTTCCTTCCGGACTCGAACCAACTAACCCGATATAACATAATATAGCTGAATAACACAAAAAGAAGTAGGAATGGGGAAACGGGGTTATAACTCTCGAAACGACCGGTCGGGTCGTTACAAATAGTGGCTCCTATTGTTAGTTTCTGATGCTCCTAATTTGAGAATTACTTGCTATAATTTGAAGTTGAGCTTTTTGTAGTCACTTTTACACTTTTGGCATGACTCAAAGACCATTAGAAGGCCTCGGTTTTCTTTCCTTTCAACTCTACATACCTAGGCTTACCATTGGGATCATCATACAAATCACAAGGAATCTGGAGTGGGGCTATTGAGAAGTTTGAGAAAAGATTGGCCTCCTGGAAAATGCAGTACCTCTCTATGGGGGGTAGATTAACGCTTATTAACAGTGTGTTGGATAGTATTCCTACTTACTTCATGTCATTATTCTCAATTCCAGTTAAAGTGAAAAAGAGGCTAGATCAAATTAGTTGAAACTTCTTATGGGAAGGCAACAGTCAAAGTCACAAATTTCATTTGGTTAAATGGCCAAAGGTTATTTTACCAAAGGAGCATGGAGGATTGGGTGTTAAGGATTTGGCATTACATAATAAGAGTATGCTAATGAAATGGCATTGGAGGTATAATTTGGAGGACCCTGGTTTGTGGAAATCAGTGATTAATGCTAAACATGGTGTGAGGAACAACTGGTGCACAAGTCATAGCAGATCACCTCATGGTACAGGCCTATGGAAACACATATCCAGTTTATGGGATGAGTTCCAACTTAACTCAAAACTCAAGTTAGGGAGTGGGACACTCATCAAGTTTTGGAAAGACAAGTGGCCGGGAACAATGGCACTAAAAGATGAATTTCCAAATTTGTACCTGCTGGCAGTAGATCAAGAATCCACTGTAGAACAATGTTTGGCAGAACAACTCTTGGGACCCTCAATTCAGGAGACATTTTCAAGATTGGGAGATAAACGACCTAATGGAATTGCTGGCCAAACTAGCACAGATTGCTGTCAAACCCCAGCTGAAGGACAAACTGGAATGGGGGGACGGGAAATTTACAGTGAAGAAAGCATATGCACACCTATGCTCCAACAATGATCTGATAAACAATTGGCCATGGAAACTAATTTGGAGAACAAAAATGCCTCGCAAAGTGATTTGTTTCAGTTGGGTTGCCTTAAATGAAGCATGCCTCACACAAGACAACCTCAGCAGAAGGAGTATACCAATGGTGAATAGGTGCTACATGTGCAATTTGGATTCTGAAAGTGTTAGACATCTCTTTTTGCATTGTCCTTTAGCATGTGATATTTGGAACATGTTCCTCTCTATTTTTGGACTAGCCTGGGTCAAGCCTAACAGCATCAAGGAAGCATATGAATGTTGGTGTTCATGGAGAGTTGGTAAATCCATCAAAAAAATTTGGGTAATGGTACTTGCTGCTATCTTTTGGTGCATCTGGAATGAAAGGAACCGTAGATCTTTTGATGGGATCTCAACTCCGAGCGATGTAGTCAAAGCAAAATGTTTATTGAATTTGTTTAGTTGGCTAAATCACGCACCTGTAACTAGTTCTGTTCAATTTTTTGATTGTGTCTGCTCCCTAGTGATAGAATAGTTTTTTTGTGTGTATATGAGCAGACACCATCTCTTAATTGTAATCTTTTGCCTGCATTCGCTGGATGCTTTTAATGAATTCTCCTTACTTCATCAAAAAAAAAAAAACTCTTGTGTAGTATAACCATGACTCTGATTTGAGGTTCTGCACATGATGATTGATTCTAGGAACAATCTGTATACATTTTAGAGGTAATGTGCATATACACATCCACACAAACACTGGTGTATTCATGTGCATTCTATTGATGGCTCGCATACTTTAGTGAAGACAAGTGTTTCTGACACCGACATGCTCGCGCAAATTGAATAAATTCTTGGTGCTTTCTTTCAGACCCTCTCCCTGTCATCTCGGCTTGTGAGAATAGAGCACCTATTGTAGATCTATCAGCATGTGAAGCAGGAGACTCCATCAAGAATAACTTGGATACAGTACCTGGCAGGGCTGGGTCTTCAATTGTTGTTCTCATTAGCGACAGTGATGATGAGAAGGCAATGGCATGTGTTTCAAACAGTGATGGTGTAGGTAGGAATTTAACATTTCCTAAGCAGATAAAAGAAGAGGTTATAGAGGAATTCTCTACTTCATTGTCCAAGAGGAAAAGAAGTTTAATTGAGAGTGACAAGGGTGATGGTAATGGAAAGCTGTCCTTTGCTCATGGCAGTTCCCATAAAACGGGGTTCATAAGAGACTGTGATGACAAAGACGAAAGGAAGTTTTATTCTCAACTTTCTTCCAAGTCTGATATGTACAAGCTTAATGGGATTAGTGATAGTTCGTCGGATTCAGACAATGATTTGAGTGACAAAAGTATGGAAATGCTAATCAAAATAATTAAAGGTAAAACGTTTTTCTCGGAAGATGGTTTAAGATCATCCTTTGAGAAGGATGCTGAACTCAGCATGAACGCGATATGTGCACTTTATAGGCAGCAGATTTCTCCAAACTTCTCTTCCAAGGGCCTCTCTTTTACCAAGAGTCAGGGGTTGAGTCAATCTGATAAAATCAGGTACGTGCAATTACTGCCTGATCCTTTGACAGGTTTATCTTTCTAGTGGTAACATTATTAGCTTGATTATTAAACTGCTATTTGACCTTACCAGCATAACCACTAAGCAAGTATTGCTGTAAGTGGTTAATAGCAAGAAAGATGTTTCTTCCAATGCCATAATTCTTGGCAATGTGCTGTTCATTTTGTAGATATATTCACTAATAGGTGAATGCATTAATGCATCCTTCTTGTCCTGCTGAAAAAGGACTCGCAACTCACAGTTGATAGAGGAAATCAGAATAGAATTCTATTGTAAATGTGAAACTTGTTTTGCAAATTAAAATTGAATGAACAATGAGATTGAATACCTAATTGCAGTGTAATGACCTTAATATTGCATGCGACATAAAATAATTCATTCTTAATTTGATTTAATGGTATTACAAGTTTCTCCAAAATAAGTTCATAGTGTGAAATTTGGGACTGACAATCCACTGTCAAAAGTTTTATAAAGTAATACTTTTTCATGCTAAGTGTACTGTTTCTCAAATGCACCATGCTTCCGATTGCCTATAAAAGTCACTAATTGGGTTTATTTACGTAAAAGAATGTCTACGAACCCTCTCAAAGTCCTAATGGTATGTCTTCTTGGGTTGTATAAGGTGCAATGCCTACTTTTGATTTTACAACATGATAGCGTATTGGATTCAATAGTACTTTTTAAATAACTACGTTTTCCTTGCCTCTATCCTTGAGCATGGGCTCTTATTTTTGCTTCAGTCGTAATTACATCTTTCAACTTTCATTTCCTTAAAGGTCTCTAGTTAACTTATTGAAGATAAAAATGATGTCTAGTCAATCCAGATGTTTAATTTACGATAATCAAATCAAAAAGTGGGGAACAACTAATCTTAAGTTAACTGAACTCATGTATATTGAGAAAAAAGGTAACCAAACCTTTCATTTTTGCCTGATTTACCTATGTCTTGTTTCTAGCAGATGACATGGGCGCTTGTGTGGATTTTTCAAAATGTTGAGAATACATGTTGAAAATTTAGTCCTGGTTCATGAAAAGTTATAGATGAGTTATTTTGTTTCTAAAAGGTTATGTGAACCTCCTCTTCATTGGATTGCACTGATTGATTCTCATTGCTGTCTGTTACAGTATTATCTGTCTCTGCATGGTTTTGCCTGTTAAGGTCTTCGTAACATGAGATCAATCAAATTTTATCCTTGAAGCACACTTTCATGTCTTTGGGCTTTAGGTATTAGTAAATTTGTCCTTGTATTCTTCACGCACTTCTTTTAAGCTTCAGCTTTTCTTTGGTGCTAACGAGGCTGAACTTGAAAGGAACATTTAAAGCTGCCTTCATTTGACGGATTAACTCACGTATGGCTTCTGCAAGACTTAAAACTTTCCTCTTTTCTTGGCAGCAATGCTCAAGTAACTGTGTGTTTGAACGACTTAATGTAGAGGTTGGTGTCCAAAAATTCCAGAAGTACGCCATTTTTTGGGTCTACATTAGGTTCAAGGTGGTTAGTACCAAAATTGTGAAGTTGAAAGTTAGAAGGTGGGAGTAGTGAAAACATAGGAAGCAAAGACACTTATAACACCAAAACACAAGGGCAACATGCAAATTAAGTAGAAACATTTAAGATGGGATTGTCTACTGTAAGGATTGTGTAAAAATACAGACCCAAGACATATATTTGTGACAAGCTTATTGTGGGGGTAAGTGATTGGATCCAGTTCTGACTACTTGATCAGATTGCTGGATTTGTTTCATCCAATTGTTGAAATGGAACATGCAATATCCAGTTTCTTTTTATAATCAATTTGATTGTTTTTCTCGTGGCTTTGTATTTTAGTTTCTTTAAACTGGTACTATATCCTTTATACTTTCTATAAGATTTTTCATGTGTTTTTTTGCAGCATAACTGCTTTGGGTGAATATCTGATCGATGGGGATCCACAACATAAACTCAGAAAAGCCGTGGTGGAAGTACGTCCAAAGGATCGTGCAGAATGTAAAAGATTAGCAACTAAGTACTGCCACCAACTATATCAGATATACCTTAGTAAGGAGGATCATCTGTTTCGCCCTGGAGCTATATTCTAGTTTACCAGATAAGCTATCTCCCTTTTTGCTACGCAAATGCTGCTTCTGACAAAACTTTACTATGGACTTACATATTTTGATCACTCCCAGTCCCAACTATTGCTGCACAAGATGGAAGCTTTTGCTGTTTGTGGCAGTTTTTACTAGCAGGTAGAAACCAAGATATGTCACTCTGATTCATTTTTGTGACTTTTGGTGTGCATAGCTGATTATGGATAGTTAACAACTGGTACAAATATACTATAGGTTTTATGGTCATAGATGATTCTAGAGATGTAAAAAGTTAGGGGTGGTGTTTCTGCCAGTTTGGGTATTTTGTATATCCATGATGAAAACTCGTTCTCTTTTAAATGTAAAAAAAATTCTTATATTGGGCGCTTTTGGCTTTGACACCTCTTGATACAATGTCGAAGGAGATGGCTTTGATTTAGCTTTAAAAGACCTTAACTTATACTAAGTTTTACTTTTAAATATTTATTTTAAAAGTATATCTTGTTAACCAATGGAACTAAATTAGTATGTTCGGACTTGCTATAATGAATCAGAATGACACTACCCCATTATTCCAAGGGTATAGCTGGATGGTAATTGGGATGTAACACCACCAACACCAACAAATCCAGCTTAATCTCATACGTAGGGTATAGGAGGATAGTGTGTATGCAGCCTTATCCTATAAAGGGTAGTCTTCCCTCTTGACAAAAGGTTTTGGATTCAACCTTGAAAATGGATAACCCTTTGATAAAGAGTGACTAGGATAGGCAAAATGAATAGAATGGGACTATCAGATGTAAATGGGATAATTGAGATCTATCTATTCTTGATCAGAGTGTTGATACCTAGTACACTACCCCTTACTCAAAAGCAGAAAAAGAAATTGAACCATAGGTAACCCAATGAGCTGGAAATGACTTTGGTGGAAAGCAACCAATGTGTGAATGAGGTTAAGTTTGGTCCCATTGGAGTTCCACGTGATACAGAGAAAAGACACCTTCATTAGCCATTTTGCAGCTGCAGATGGTGGCGGCTCGACAACCGTAGCTTCCTTACCATTGCCCAACAGACGTGGATGCCATGCCCAACAGACGTGGATAATTCATTGCCACTACATTATATATACAGTCAAACATCTTTATAACAGCCTCATTTGTTCCGAAATTTTTTTGCTGCTATAATGAAGTATTGTTATAGAGAACATATATTATAACATAATATAATATTCAGTTTCGAGAAAAACTCGACTTTTACAGTGAATGACTATTATATAAGGACGGTGTTACGGAGAAGTCTGACGTATTTCTTCCGCATAGAAATTTCATTTTGAACCCAACAAAGCGCCAACCACAATACAAAGTATGTTTTCTTTTCTACTTTCATATAGTTACAAGCTGGTATTTGACTTCTATGGTACCGCATCCTTCTCATTCCAATTTAGAGGGTTACCTTTCACAATTATAGAAGTAAAGATCATAGTGTAAGATTGGAGCTGTACTTTCCGTATGCCAGTTAGTCTTAGATATTTCTCGATCATCAAGAAAAGAAAAAAAGAAGTAGAATTATACTTTATTGAGAATGAATTTAAGTTGTATATGTTGATAAGTGACAGTATAAAAAATATTTATGCATACAATCAACTGATCAAGTCTCTATAACATAATTATAGATAAATTTAATAAAAAAGATAAATAATCTGGTATTGCATGTTAAACTGCATTAATAGGGTAAAAAGATCTGTATAACATTAATACGTACAACTTAATTAAACTCATTGGGTATATACTAAAATCTCATCAAGAATCTTTTCTCTTCTGACTTTCCTTTTTTTTTTTCCCCTTTCTAATACGGGCTAATCTTTGGGAAAAAAAAAATCAAAACAAATGTGCAAGAAAAATGGTCGAATTAGTAGTGTTGTATGTCTTCTGAAAATTTAATGACCACTACTTTATTATATTTAAAAGCGTATTAAAGTATTAATTTAAAAATAATTTTGTTTGTATAACTAATTGTTTGACAAGAGGGGTTGCTCTGATGGTAAGCAACCTCCACTTGCAACCGAGGGGTTGTGAGTTCGAGTCACCCCAAGAGCAAGGTGGGGAGTTCTTGGAAGGAAGGATGCCGAGTTTCTATTGGAAACAGCCTCTCTACCTCATGGTAGGGGTAAGATCTGCGTACACACTACCCTCCTCATACCCCTAGTGGGATTATACTGGGCTGTTGTTGTTTTTTTGTATAACTAATTGTGTGACTGATGTTCATCAAAGAATTCGAAAGAAAAGGAAAGACAAAAACAAAATGTATAAAGAAACTTTTAGCGAAGTGCATTGCCATGTTCAAATCCATAGTCTTCATTTTCTCATATCTCATTATAAACCTTCAGATTTGTAACTTTGTAAACCTTCAGAAAATGTATCAAATTCTTATTTTTTTTATATTATCTTGCCTTCTGAATGATTCTAAGTTTCCAAAATACTGACTTACTTTATAAAAGCTAAGCTTTATTCCACATTATATAAATTAAGGGTTTTTATGATTAGAAACATAATTTAATTTGTATACGGTCAAAACCGTTTTCGACCTTCGTACGATTGGTTGAAGGTGGGAACTTAATGGATCGAAGAGCGTCTTCATAATATCGAGATGAGGTCTGAAGCCAGGTTACCGAGCTTCGAGTTTCAGGGACCGATCAAATACCGAGCTCGAAGTCATTATCTAGCTCGAGTCAATATCGGGCTCTGAATTTGGAGATCGATCAATATCAAGTCCGATCAAGATCGAGCTCATAGACAAGAGCCTTTACAACCGCACTAAGGGAGAGAATCTCGGCGGGAATTAGGAAAAAATTGATTTATCATGGGTTCCCCACTATGTATTTTTAATTATATCTAAAGTAGGACCCTCCCTTCCCCCCCAAACTATAAAATGGATGGCTATATTTCTGTAAAAGGAATCAAGTTTGGCATACATTATAACTCAGATATCATACACTCTCATATTGAAGAATTATCCTTTTTTAGCTTCATAGATTGATTCATCTAGCTTAATCCATAAATCATCTTCTTTTCAACTTTGCTTATTTTTCATCCTTTATAGTCAATATTCAATATTTCTATTTACTCTTACGATTTGTATCAAGTTATACCACATACCCTTAGAACTACGTACAAATTCAACTCTATCCGTTTTTCGGGTAAACAGTTTGGCGCCCACCGTGGGGCTAAGGATAATAGTGGTTATTTGATACGAATCTGTAAAACACACCATTTTACGCTCGTTTTCGGAAGCGCCTTTGATTTCGGATTAGCAACGACGAGCTCTCAAATTAAATGGCCTTACCTATCGACAACAAAGCTGGCCTTCAAGGTGAGAACAACAACTTGACGTCCAGGGCCGGAATGCCACTTGTCAACGCCGTTGGAGCTCGAGTCGAAGTACTATTAGACGTTAATTCGCATGTGTCCATTGAGGCAAACCTACGTTCTGAACCTGAAAATAGCATTCATGGTAGTACTCGATCTGTAGCTCGAGAAACCTATAACGTTGAGGAAAACGGAATCACCTTGCGTATAATTTTCGAAATGTTGCAAGCTCAACAGGTAGCGATAGCTCAGTTGCAGAGTCAAACCCAGGTACCGAGCAGGCCGAAGCCAAGTCTACCCCGAGAAATCATCCACAGAACGGAGCCAGCAATAATAAGATCAAATGAGCAAGAGTCGGGGACTAATTCCAAAATTGCTAAGATACTCGAGGAACTCACAAAATGGATCGAAGCAAACGATAAAAAAATGGAAACATATAACTCCAGGTTCGATAAGATCCCGGGGGCACCACCAGTGTTGAAAGGGTTGGATTCCAAAAAATTCGTGCAAAAGCCTTTTCCACCAAGTGCAGCTCCAAAACCGATCCCTAGAAAATTTCGCATGCCCGAGATTCCTAAATATAACGGAACGACCGACCCCAACGAACACGTCACCTCTTACACATGTGTCATCAAGGGTAACGATTTAGAAGACGATGAAATTGAATCTGTGCTGTTGAAAAAATTTTGAGAGACCCTCTCGAAGGGAGCAATGATTTGGTATCACAACCTACCACCAAACTCCATCGACTCATTCTCCATGTTAGCAGACTCTTTCATAAAGGCACACGCAGGAGCGATAAAGATCGCAACGAGGAAATCAGACCTTTTCAAGGTAAGACAAAGGGATAATGAAATGCTAAGAGAATTCGTGTCCCGGTTTCAAATGGAACGCATGGAATTGCCACCGGTCACAGATGATTGGGCCGTTCAAGCTTTCACCCAAGGATTGAACGAGCGGAGTTCGGTAGCATCACGTCGGCTGAAACAAAATTTGATCGAATATCTAGCTGTAACTTGGACATATGTACACAACCGATATTAATGGAAGATCAGGGTCGAGGATGACCAATTAGGAGCCCCTTCCGGTTCAGTACATCCAAACAGGTCGATAGTTAAAAACCAGAGGGACGTCGCCAGGGATTCAAGGTCGAACAGAGACCGATATCAACCATATACCGCAGATAGAAGGAACAATGGTTCAGAACGCAATTCCGCCCGGAACAATCGAAGAAGTGATCGAGGATAGAATTCTCGGGGACTTATGAGAAAAAATGGTTTTGACAAGTATGCCAATCCTACAGAAGCACCTCGGTTATCAGAATATAACTTTAGCATCGATGCATCGGACATTATGTCGGCAATCGGAAGGATCAAAGACACTAGGTGGCCCAGACCCATACAAACCGATCCTTCCCAAAGAAACCCGAATTTGATGTGCAAGTATCATGGCACGCATAGTCACAAGACCGAAGATTGTAGGCAATTAAGGGAAGAGGTAGCCCGTCTATTCAACGGGGGCCACCTTTGAGAGTTCCTCGGCGATCGAGCCAAGAATCATTTCAGAGAAAGGGACGCCAACAGGAAAAATGAATAGGAGGAACCCCAACATGTCATTCATATGATCGTCGGTGGGGTCGACATTCCACAGGGACCCATATTCAAACGCACTAAGGTATCAATCACTAGGGAAAAACGAGCCCGAGATTATGTGCCAGAAGACACTTTATCGTTCAACAACGAAGAAGCATAAGGCATTTCTCAGCCCCACAATGACGCTCTGGTAATTTCTATCTTATTAAATAAAGTTCAAGTTAAGCGTGTTTTAGTGGATCCAGGCAGCTCGGCGAATATCATCCGATCAAGGGTCGTGGAGCAGCTCGGCATACAAAATCAAATCGTGCCCATAACTCGGGTCTTAAACGACTTCAATATGGCTAGTGAAACAACTAAAGGGGAGATTACTTTACCGGTGAACGTGATCGGAACCATTCAAGCTACTAAGTTCCACGTAATCGAGGGTGACATGAGGTAC